GATAATGTTCAGTCCATGTTCACTAACAGAACAGGGACAAGGAAAACCAGCTGTTGCAAACCTGATACCTCAGGCTGAGGCAAGATAAATTCTCAATCACTATTCATTTACTCTGCACTTTAACCACCTTCTCCCCTCAAAACCTATATGCCGACAAATACAAAGATGGTAAATGTAAAATACTATATAATTTATTTATGCAAGTGAGTAGCGTTTACGTGTAAATCCAGTACTCTTTAAATAATATTATAGCTAGAAAGACAGTGATGTAAGTTGATAAAAAATTATTCTGCAAAAGGGAAAAAACATTGTTTATTGAGCTGTATTCAACTTGACCTTTCTAACAAATGTGCCTGCCTTACCCTTCCTCTTCTTATGTATTTCAAACATCTAACAGACTCTCCCTCTCTCAACAGATTACATAAGCAGCTTTATCACAAAAACTGCCTTCCCATTAAATTTAATTACAATTAGCTACTGTTTTCCAGTTCTCTTCAGATTCCCAGTACAACCATGCTACCCTTCCTTCCTCAGAAAAATCAGTTTAAAACAAGTCTCAATAAACACAGAGCCCAAAGGGGAACTGTGACGGGGGGGGCCTCTGGCTGCAGGGGATGCAGAGCCACTGAAAGCCACGCTGTACCTTTGCTCCATGCCAGATGGCCATGGAGATGAGAAAGCAGATGAAGTAATGGATGCTGAGGATGATGAGGTCCAGCATTGCCTCTCTTCACGGTGTCTGTCCGCCAGACCTTGTTCACATCTGTCATGACGTGTGTCACAGCACCTCTTTATGTGCAAATGGGAGGCAGTGGGGCCGGCCCCTATAGCACCCTATGGCAGGATGAATGGAGGCTCAGCACGTCAGAACCCAGCTCTGTCAGGGCTGATAAGACACAGGGACATGCTGTGGCAGGCCTGATAACAGAAGAGAAGAGCTTCACGTTCCTCCTGCTGCTGTCCTCACTGTGAGCCCATGTGACTGCTATTTTCTCCCAAAACCCTGCTCAGTCATAGGTATGTGCCATGCGTCCTCAGGATCAGCAACTGCATATTTCCATGTTTCACTGCACTGGGAAGAGTGGTTTAAGTGACAGTGTGACATTTCCAAGGCCTGTTGTTAACTGATCTGCACGTGGTCAACTGTATAGACTGGCTGACTCTCTGCTTTCCAGTTCAAGGAACTTCCACCTAGTCTTACCCAGAAAGTGAAACGTCACTGTCAGACTCACAGGATGAAGCAATAAGGCACTGACACTTATTTTCTTCAGGAGATAAGCATTGCATGTAGTGAACTAAACATAAGAACCAGAGTAGGAAATCCCCAAGTTTTACTATTGCCTTTTGGCTGACTCTGCCTGTAAGCTTTCCAAATTGACCAAAATAATAAAATGCAAAATGTAGTTAGAAACACTCTTTATGAAGACACCTCTCAAAAAACTGCGTATATAAATAAATATACATATACACCTATAAAAATACACATACGTACATATTTGTACAAACACACATACACATATATGCATGTCTGAACCATTATTAAAATAACACTTACCACCTAAACTCTAGCTCATTTAGTGATGATATTTCTACAGATAGCCTGGATTTTGCACACATTAATTATCCAGGCACCTCACTCTGAAGCCTGAGTCAGCACATTGTAGACTCTGCATGGCCCAAATTGCATAAGCAATCAATAGCCAACAGCTTTGTTTCACAACTGATACTTTTATGCTTATCTACACCCAACTGCACATTAAGAACTACCCTGGGACATCAGGCGTCCTCCAAAAGAAAGCCCTTGAAGCAACTTGTTATTATGCTGAGTTTGTTAAAGGCAAGGTGGCAAAAGACTTTCTTCCCTTAGATAAGGGGTGTAGTTAAGTATTCCTTATCATGAAATATGTGTAACCAGACTCTCTTACTGCACATCTACTCATGGCTACTTTCTCTTCCACGAAGTGGATGTGAACCCTCAAAGTATGAACAGAACCTGAGATATTTCAACCTAGAGCACTCAGAGGCAGCAAAAGCCCCAAAGGAGGCAGGGGATTCTTGCCTCCGCAGCCGGAGCCAGATGAACAAAGACCTGCTTTCTCCTCCTTTTCCTTAAACAGCACAGCCACGGGGGTTAAGCTTTAGCATAGATAAGGAGACAGCTGATCTGGTGACCATCACCTGCAGACCAAAAGCACATTAAAATGACAATTTGCCTGTCACAGCCCCATGGGAAGCACTTCAGTCCTTCCCACTATAAGGTGAAATAATAACCAGCTTTGCTTTTCTCCTGTTTTCTGTTTGTTTGTTTTTCTCAAGTTGCTAACCATGTAGAAAACATCCATTCAAGTAAGACATGAGTAACGATGGGTCACATTACCCCCTAACGGGTCCCATGACAGAATCCCGAGCTACCAACCAGCTATTGGAACAGCACCTGGTTGTGGAAGTGAGTGCAGTGAGTGGCTTCAGGCAGTAAGAGAAAAGGTTACTTCCACACAAATAGACGGTAAGCTAGTCTTCTAATAGATTTTTTTCCTGATGTTCTCTTAAGAGTTTGACTGCTTTGATATTTTCTGAGTCACTGCAGATGGCATGGATGGAGTTGTCCCTGTAGCCAAGTGCCACCTGGTGGGAACGACAAGGGGCTTGGAAGCAGCAGAAGGGTTCTGGATTTGTGAATTGTAGCAACTCATTGCTGTACCCTGCTCTAACTCATTTTCCTCTGTTCTAGGGAAAGGGAAAAATACCACTGCTGTCTGGGGCATGGGCCAAGTGTGCCCTGGTGACATGGGTGGGTGGGGACACCATGCTGCTGCTGGTGCCTGTGGTCTTTTACCTTAGTGTTGGCTGAGTTCGAGGGATATTTTTTTTTTTTTTTTTTACGTTCTACTTTATTGTCTTAATTTTTCCAATGTTTTCATGCCAAACAGACTTACAGAAGAAGGCAAGATCAGCAGGATGGCAGTAACTGCTTGGACATTGTTCCCATTCAGAACCTGACTTATTTGTCAGCCTTACAAAGTCTTAACATTATTTTCGTCATACTATGTGGATTTTGTAATACTTCATTCAGAAATAAAATTGGTCAGTCCAAGAAATTACTTTTTTTGTTGTTGTTTAAATCCACTAGAAGAGTGTGAGTGTGACCTTTGCATTTCAAGCAGGCTTATGCACTTCTTGCATTAGTTAAAGAATGAGCGGTACAGACTGAGCAGGGGACTGTAACAGGCATACTGCAGTGGGATGTTTGTTCTTTTGGCAAAAGCCTTCTAAAACATTGTCATAATTATTCCTGCCTAGCTTATTTTAAGGCAGAGCAGTGAAGGAATACTTCTCTGAGATTGTATCCTTCTCATTTGGCTCTGGTATTGTTAATGAGATTTTCACTACACTTACTGAACCAGCTGATATTTTTGGTCATTTTGACCCTACAAATAAAGCCAAACCTATGTTCTTCTGTGATGTGAGAGCTCTGTTCTCCGTGGGACTGGGCATGAGCAATCTGCAGTGTTTATGGCTGGTACCATATGTGTATCAATACCCTCCATATGTTGATGACAGCTCATGCATATGAAAGTGATTGACAAACCAAAGAGGCAACACTGAGAGCTTGGTGGCTCCAGGATGGAGCTGTGGTATGTGCTGTCATCAGACCTGGAATGACCCTTGCTGATACCTGATGGAGTAGGAGGTATTTCTGCACTCACACAGCCAGCTGCCATGCCGGATTCCTGGACTAGCTGACACCCAAGGAGTCCAAAATGCTGAAAACAAACCATGCAGGTCTTGCATTCTGCAGTGGTGTGCACGCATTTGGGCTCCCACAGATGCTACTCAGATGGGGATTGAGGACAATTAGTTCAGAACAAGGCTCCTACTTGTGCAGGGTCGCACTGGCTCTTCTGCAGGGTTTTTCCTTGTTGGTTGCATGTGATAAATCAGCACAGATTTAATGACACAGACCTGAGCGTAATCATGTCCTTGTTCCCTGACTCTCACCAACCTATCCAGTATCCTTTCTCTACACTTCATTTTTCCTATGATACCACATCACGTATCAAAACTTCGTGGGGGCTCATGTTGTTCTGGATTTACCTGTAAAGGTAACAGGTGCTGTATGACAGGGAGCTGCAACATCTCAGCCTCAACAAGCTTCCTCTGAGGAAGTTTAGGCTTAAGGTGAATTTTCTTAGAAGAAGACATTGCTCCAAAAACAGTGACGTGATGTTTTTACAGAACCTCATTACAATAATTCACATCTACTCAATTACTGCTGCTAGTAAAGAGTTCTTAAAAATGCTGAAACTTTGCAGTGTAAATGGGACTGAACTTTGGCCGGGAAGCAATAGTGGTGAAGCCTAAATCACTCTCCAGCAGGAGAAAGGGGCTATAAGGAACATCCCAGGGTACTTGTTCCAGTTCTCCGATCTTGTGCAGGATCACATGTCCCTTTCACCATTTCTGACAAATATTTTCAACTTATTTCTAATGAATTCCAGTGACAGAGTTTAGCTGCCTTGACAGGCTGTTTTCATGTTTAGCCACTTGGAGTTCTTTACATTTTTTTCTCCAAACAGCTCATCAGAACAGGCCTGCCTGAAAAACAAAGTGATTTCTTTTTCTGCTCTTGGTGGCAGCATTTTCCATGCTTTTCTGTGAGCCACAGTCACTGATGAGGTTTCTCTGTTGGCTGATACCTCCTACAGTTCACAGCTTCCTTATTTATATTATTTTCCTCCAGTTGCTCTTCTCTGTTTATGTCCTTCTTAAAATACAAAGTCATAAAGCAGAGGCAATACACTGAGCATTTACTGCAGTTAATAAAACAATTTCCTCTTGTGTCTTACATATGTCACTCCTTCAAATCACACTCAAACGTCACCACATCATCCTGACTGATACCCTGTTTCAGGTTCTGTAACATTTTTATAATATTATGCTTTTTTTTCACGTGAAAATGCAGCCCAGATAGGGGTTTTTTTCACCATTTCAGTATTTTTCCCTTTCCCTTTAATTTTGACCTTTAATAATTCATGAAGAATTTTACCTGATTGATTTCATATCACTTTTCCAGTTAATCAGGACTCCTTTGAATTTTAGCCTATCCTCAGGAGCACCAGTAGCTCTCCCAGGGTGCATTTTCTCATGCTTAGTAAGAAAAAAGTACACAGTCCTGCATTCAATTGCTTACTAAAAAAATACCAAGCAGCACAACACCAAATTCTTTCAGACCAATTATGTCATTTAGGGAAAAGGCACAAGGGAGGAAAAAACTGATTTTAAACTCCTTAGAGATGATACCATAACTTACATAAGAACCATATCCAATAAAGATTAGTGTATATAAGTATTTGATATAAGAATTTGGAAGACAAAGCTACTCAGATTTTATATCCTGTTTTCATAGGATAACTGGTTCAAAAGTTTTGCGAGGAGACCAGCAGATAAATATCTTTTGTTCTGATTTTAGAAAATCAGTTTAAAACAATACAGAAAAGGATTTTTCACTGGCTTTTACTACTAGAAAAACAGTTTTATCTACTGCCCCGTGTTCTCTCCAGGAACTGCAGTTTACACGTGACACTTGTGAAAGAGCAAGTTTTTGTGACACTTGTGAAAGAGCAAGACTGCATTGAAAAGAACATTTTCCAGATCAGTAGCCTAAAAGATCCTGGATAAAGCCTCAAATAGTGACTTCATCTATTGTTTAGTTTCAATGAGATTCATCTCCTGCGTTTTTGATCACAGGTCACTTCAATAATCACTCTTAACAGTAATTTCCAGGTGTGTATAAGAACTTTCAGTCCTGTTTCTCTGATTATCTGTCTCATAATGAGTGCCTGCACTGCCAAGAAGGTAAGAACTTTAGATATTGATTATCATATTTTATTATGCTTGCCCAGGTCAATGGTACAATTCCTATATGAAGTCTTTATCACATTTCTTCCACTTGACTATTCATAATGGACAGTTCTTTGATAAGCTAATGAACCTGACGTGCTTTTAGGTTTAATCTTATCTCTGCATGCATTTACACTGTAATTTTTAGAGTAAACTGTTAGACATGATGCCCAGCAAGGATTACTCATACCTGAAACAAGTGTTTTTTTTTTTTTTTTAGAACGTTTAT